GACAGTAACCACACCACACCTTGAATATGCGCATCTGTGTACGCTAGCAACTGCTATTTACCCAAGAACACCAGCAAATAATCGAACAGCTATATAACCGGGGAATATAAAAACAACCATCATACAAGCAATCGAGGAGACAAAAAGCAAACATAAAGTCAACAGTGTTGATAGGAGCAAAAAACACACATATGTACTTATGCCAGCGTTTGAGTGCAGCAGTACAAGTCAATGTTGCGAGAATGGTATGCACAATGGAAAAAAGCTTGGCGTGATTGTAGCTTATGAGTTATTTGTAATTTACTTGATATCAGATACCATAAGTAAATATTTGTCTTTAGCAGATACTACTCGTGTAGTTTATGCTGCAACAAGAGAAAAGACATACTACCCGCGCAGTTGACGATCATACAGAAGTGTACAGCAATGTTGCAAAAATGTGTGACTATGAACAGGCGCGTTGGAAGTCAAGCGGTACGAATGAAACATCAAATGGCACAGGAAAATTGGTGAGCACGAAGATTTAATTTCAATATTTGTGTTTATTTTTGTATGTACATACATATGTAGACATGTATGTTTGCATGCGCAAAAAATATGAAACAAATGAAATGAAGATAAATTTACCGAATGGATGAGCACACCTTGAATTCTTCTTACTCACCCCTTTGTGCTGTATGTTTACACCGGCGCAATATTTACTTTGAGGTGCATAAGTATATACATACAGTTCCTCGCAAAAGTATTCGGAAATATTTTTTCTCCGTTATAAAACAACAGGAATCTTTTTCCACTTTTTATTTATTTCTCGAAAACTAGTTTACTCCTTTCATTGTGGTCTAACCTTTAGTTTAACCATTAAAACAACAAAATAAAAAGTCAATTTTGGTTAAAATTAAAAAAAGACCCATTCCGTATACGCCTCGCAGACGTAGATTATACTTTTGGGGTTAACGAATTCCTCTGCAAAATGCTGTGGATAGTTGAAATGCTTTTTTTGTGGCCGTTGACATCACTTTCAATGTTTACCCTTCATTTTCTTAATTAAATATTATTTTTCTTTCCTCCTAGGTAGTTTCTTGTGACTTTCTACCCATATTTTACACAATTGAACGTACTTTCTTTCGCACTAAGTTAAAACAATCAAAACCATAAAGTTTTACACATAGAATCAGTGATGCCAGATTGTGGGTAATTTCCCTATTTCAGGGATATTTTGCATCAAAAATTATTAAAAGGGAAAAAAGGGACACTTCATATAAATAAGGGATTTTCTTTTGACGCAGTTATTGTTGCATAATTAATCAAAATTCAAGAATATTCGACAATCTTACGTAATTAATCGTTCTGAAGATGTCATGTGGAGTGAAATGGTATATAATTGTTAAAAAGTATAAGGACAATTTCGAAAATTTTCTTACGTTAACCAATTCAAGCGCTGAGTAAGAAAGAATCTTTTCAGTTGTAACTGGTGTTTCATGTAAAAAGCGGAACAATTTATCTGATGAAATGTTAAATAGCACATGAATGTGCTTCAATTTTAAAGTCACCAAAAAATTCTTTTAGGCCCTTAGTGAGTGAGCAAAAAAATTAAAGGGAAAAAATGAATGAGTGAAAAAAATGCAGAAAAAGGGGTTTTTTTCTTAACAGAGGTCGGCCCTCGACAGGCAATGGCAAACCTCCGAGTGTATTCCTGCCATGAAAAACAGCTTCTCATAAAACTACACTCGCCATTCGGAGTCGGCGTAAAACTGTAGGTCCCTCCCCTTTGTGTGACAACATCAAGGGGACCGCCACAAATTGGAGGAAAAGCACATATGTGTAAGCGCGAAACTATTATTATTATTTTATATGAATTTTACTTCTTTACTACTGAAACATGTATATGTTTAAATTCGTTGGGAATTTTGTGGGATAAATTTTCAAGATGTGGGTAATTGAGGGATTTTTTCCCCATTTCCGTGGTATATTTAACAGAGAATGTCTGGCATCACTGCATAGAATCGGTGCAATATTCTGCCAACAGCGACGCGTATCTGTGCGGATAACGGTGCCTTTGCGAGCCCGTTAAGTTTTAAAATTTGAAATACTTAAGTGATGTGAATTTAAGTCAGTTCACGTTTTGAGGGGTGTACGCTCATAATTTTGCTTTTGAGATGTTCTATTCTTCCTCGCAAAAGAAAGTTAAATATTAAAATGTGTTGAAAACTGATTTTTGGATTATGAAACTGAGATAAAATAACTTTTTTTAGGACTTTCTACTATAAAAAGTAAAATTCCGAATACCTTTGTGAGACACTGTATGCGAATATAAGCACGTAATTACACATAACATATTGGTTGTAAAACTAAACTAAAACAGCTGCTGGTATTTCGCGTTCTATTTTGGAAAAAGAAATTGCTAGAAAAATAAATTATGTTAGCGAGTGCGTACATGTATTTATTTATTTATTCAAATTTATTTGGAAATCGAAGTAAATCTAAATAAATTATGCGCTCTGAATGTTCCATACTATCACTCGTAGGTGCAATTTTGCATAGTCCAACCTACAAGTTTAGGTTTTATTCACATATTTTCTGCTTGCTATTGATTTATTCATTAAAAATTACCTTCGCTCATACTTACGTCATACTTAACCCATAGTACATAATAATCACATTAATAGCTTACACTAATTGTTATTGCTATTTGCTGAAGCTTATGCCAACTTGTACATACGATAAATACTCGCAGACATATGTATATTGAAATGTGCAATAGTTATAATTTATTTTTTTCCATAGCTGTCCTTTTGCGTATTCTCTGTAAGCGTGCACATGTCGTTCACTGAGCCATAGATATGTGAGTGCAAGTGTGTGTAAACGAAAGAAAGCTGGCACTAAAACTGTGGTATACTTTGTAATTTAGCGATTTGGTCTATGCAGACGAGAATGGGGCCAGTTGGAAGTGCAGAAAGATTGTGAAAGACCTTTATAACAGTTTTCTTAATGTTTCCTATCAAAATACTACCAATATCCGGTTTTGGGGTGGGTCTTAAAATAACTAGCAAAGAAAAGCGAGACAAAGTAACAAGCGAAGGAGAGCAATTTTAGCCATCACAGAGTGGGGTTATTTGGTAAACAAGGGTATTCTCATAATCAAAATCAAAGCGAGATATTTCAACATCTCGTTTTTAGGGCCTACGCCTCGACGAAAGATAAGGTTTGGCTGCTTCAACGCCAAAAATTTAAAGGGCAAATGTTGTCCAAAAGTCGGAAGAGTCAGCATCCAAGGCGATGGAATGAACAACCAGAAATCAATTCCGTTATAGTAGGTATAGTATATAGTAGTTTTATATGGACGTACGATTCAGGATAAAGAAGTGGGCTAAGATCACTTTCTCTTCCAAGCAAGACTCACACACGCGTCGATCTGTAGTCAAATTCCCAACTCCACCCTCAATCCTGCTCTGTTAAGCAGTGTTGTCAAGTGGGCGATTTCCTCGTAATTTGAAATATGCTTTGGAACTTGTAACAATTACCGAGACCAAAGGAAGACTTTTGCTTCCTGTGTAAAATTTTCTGTCTAAACAGCTGCGTACGTACTATATGATACGATCTGTTATCAGTAACTATACGTATCCACAAGAGAAAAAAATTCTAGTACTAGGAAGTACTGCGTAACCAAAGGCGCACAAATACTGTGAATGAAGTGCGTGTCGATTTCCAGCTTTTATCTGATATCTCTTGGATTCCAGAACCTAGCCTATAACAAAAAAAATCTTCCCCGCTACTGCTGTTTATTTGAATATTTTATAAGTCGGTGACTTTTCGCATTTGGAAGACGATTTTCGCGAGCACAAGGGATGGTTATCTACACCAACGACCTCGCATGAATCTGTGATTTATAAATCCCCGTAAAGATAAGAAAGGCGAATATCGGTTACTGACGCCTAGATTATAGTAAAAAATTCTCCTACGTTTATAAATTCCAGAGAGGGGAGGTGGATAACGACAAACCAATCATGAACAATGACGTGGGAAAGATGCCTGAGTTTCATATTTTGAGGAAATATTTTGAAAATTGTTTTTTTTTTCATCTAAATGTTCTTGCGTTTAAAACTGTTGAAAAATCCCTACTGCGTCACAACAATTATACCTTCATACGTTAATTCCAAGTAAGCAAACAAAGAAATCTCTGCAACAAATAACCCAAAAATAGATCCTCTTAAAGTCGCTTACGTATCAACCACGAAGCATTGGAAGACTTGTGCCATAGTTAATCATTTTATATGGTTTCTTAGCGATTTATCCTTTTCAACACACAACTAAGGTATACATACACTCACATCTGTCCATGTCAGCACAAAGGAGAAAGGACATTTTGAGAGAGCCTTGAAAGAAGAAAGGGAAATGAGTTATAAGGAGCAGCGTGGCAAAGCTTTCGCTTTTTAGATCGTTTACAAAAGAATCTGCAACAAACATAATCGGGGTGACGGTAAGCTTAAAATACTTATTTGCAGCGTTTTTGTATGTGCGCTTATAATGCTGTTATTGTATGTGCTATTAGGTGGGTATACATATGTACATATACATACATAAACGATTTATTGGTGACTAACGATATCTCGTAAAGCTCAGCCACAAATGAGTTGTTTTTGGGCATTTACATGCTTCACTTGCACTTTTTTGTTGTGTGTGAGGTTGCCTTGGGACAACAAGTCAAGGTTAATGTGTTTAAAATGAGATTTTAGCTACCCAAAGTCAAATAAATACATAGTAGCTTATCTTGGCATGGAATGACTGACGGTCGGTTGTTTGGCAACCGCATTAGGCTTTGTGTTAATAGACACACAATCAACGATTAAATACTACGTAGTACAAATAGAAGAGTTGAAAATAATGCGTGTGCAATTTGTTTAACGAGCATTTTCATAGTTATACGTGGAAAAGATGTTTAGTAAAAATGGGTAGGCTTATTACTTATTTAATAAAAGTAGTTATTTTTCAATTCTACTCACCTTATGTAAATGATTTCATTGTTGCTGGTTTGTCTACGCCAACCGGGTGCCAAATTAGCATTGGCTATGCTGGCGGTGCACGGTTGCGCAACTGTGGAGGTCGTTGGGGTTGCCGTGGTGGCAGCAGCTGCAGCACCAACGCTCACATTATTTGTGGCGGATAGAGCAACAGCAGCAGAGGCGGCAGCATTGCTCATAGCGACATGCTGACGCGAGGCGATTGTAGGTGGCGCCACCACCACATTATGATTCATCATTTTCACCGAAATTTGCTGTTGCTGTAGCTGCAAATGTTGCTGTTGTTGTTGTTGTTGTTGCGGTTGCAACTGCTGCTGGTGTTGTTGCTGTGGCGGGTGCAACTGCTGCTGGTGATGTTGCTGCATAGCTGCAGTATTGTGCTGGTGCTGCTGCGGCTGCGGCTGATAAGAATTTATCTGTTGGCCGCCGCGTGTTGCACTATTGCCAGCAGCAAGTGTTGGTCCGCCATTTACCATACCAGCTGGTAAAGCTTGCAGCTGTTGCTGTTGCTGCTGTCGTTGTAGCTGCTGTTGCTGTTGTTGCTGCTGCTGCTGCTGTATTTGTTGTTGTTGAGCAAACATTTGCGCATTGGAAGCAACACGCGTGGTATATTTTGTGGCGCGTAGTTGCTGTGACGTTGGCTGTTGTGTATGGTGTTGAAGCTGTACTTGCTGCTGCTGTTGCAGCAATTGCTGTTGACCATTATTCATGTGCTGCAATTGCAATTGTATATGTTGCTGCATTTGCTGTTCTTGTTGATGTTGCTGCTGCTGTTGTTGCAACTGCGTCGGCAATGCTTGTTGTTGTTGTTGCAACGTCAGTGCATTTTGTTGGTGTTGTTGTTGATGATGTTTCATTGATTGCTGAAAAGGCTGACGCAGCGCAATCACATTTAATTCCTGCTGTGGTTGTTGCTGTTGTTGATGGTGTTGTTGCTGATGTAATTGTTGGCCAGCACTCGCAGCAGCCATTCTACGTACGCGGAAATTACCGTTTAAATAAGACTAAACGAAAGGTGTTCTGGAATGGAACAAAAAAGGGGAAAAATCAATTTAATTTCGTTACAGTTACTGTAGCGAATAGGCATGTGTACATAGATAGATAGATAATATACTGCGAAAGTAGATCTACTCTGCCCTCAACTCATCACAACAGCTCAGCTAGCCCTGGAGATTATATCTGCAATATATACACATCTACATATCAATTATTATTAAAATATTTGCATTTCTACCTCTTAATCTCACTTTAACGTCAAAGTCATTTATGAACTGAAAAATCCATTAATTTTTGTTACTTTTCAATAAAGTGCCGAAATCGACAGCGAACTCGCACAATATAGTTCTGCCTTTCAACGCCAGCTACCTGCTTATACTTTTGCGTATGGATACACACACATAATATTTGAATATTTTGTTTAAGTGTTTGTTATTATTCTTCCCAATTTAGCCTTCTAATCCGGCGCAGGTAGTTTTGTTTGGCTGCCAATGATGGGTTTATTCTGCCTTCGCTTTCAAGTATTGCGCGCTGATGACTACATTGTGGATTATCTTCAATCAGTACGGGATATTCCCAATATTTTTTCCGATACATTAATTTTGTGAAATTTCAATGAGTCAGTAAAAATTGTTCCATAAGCAAAGCGGATTATGTATGCCACTGGCGTTGAAGTCGCATTTCCTAAGCATTGTTTAGTTTAAGTCGATTAAAAAAAATGTGTTTTCATGTACATATAAACCTTTCTACAATTTTGGGAACACACAAGTGGTTTTCAGACGATGAGTATTGTCGCTATATATACCCAGTACGGAAAGAAACTAGTTTAGATATCGATCTTCAGCTAGTTTTTTACCCACCACAACTAGTTGAAGATCTGACTGTCTTCCTTGTAACGAACTGTTGACATCAACATGGCGATGTCCTAGGCATCAGTGAATAATCCGACTCTGCATTTGATTTTAACTACTTTTAAACACAGTCAGTATGTTTCTTTTATAGATGACTTTTTGTACTGAAATAGTTAATTGCCCACAGTTAGATGATTTCACAACTAATATTGAAATATTTGCAAAGATATGTAGCAAAAGTGTAAGCAATTGGTTTATCTCAATGAGGCTGCTAGGTAATTATACATAAATTTAAAGTTAGTTGCTACATAAGTAGAAATAAATTAATTTTTTTGAGATAATTGGAAGAGCTACGCTGTACTGGTTATGTACAAACTACTCATATATATAGTTTTTAATGTACACATTTCTGGTTATCATCTGATGACAGATACGAAATTAGATCATCTCTCTTCACTTAACTTGTTTATGCATGCATACATACATATAATGTGTACCATATGTGACATACACAAATAAAAAATTTTAAAACAAGTGTTTTGTCATAAAATTGTAGTCGCCATATTGCAAGAAGTCACCCTTGTGTTGAAGTTAAAATATCTTTCTTAAGTATTTTTACTAGAGAATGAAAAATTACAATAAAGATGGCAAAACGCAGTAACCCGTGGTTAAATTATATATGTATGTATACTATATACAGTTAGAATCAGTAGACCACATACATAACTGTAAATATCTTATTTTCGGTGACGTTCACTTGGGAACATCCAAAAAATATTCTTTAGGCAAAATGTGAAATGGGAAAAAATTTTACTGCTTTTAATTATTTTTGCACTTAATTTTGATAATTCGTCTATGCAATAATTTCATTTTATAATTTAATAAATTTTTTTTTTATTTTTCGAATGAATCTTTGGCATTAGACAGGAAAAAATCGAGGAGCGGCAAGATTAAATCGAAGCGCTAATTAAGGAGAAACAGGACAATGTCGAAGCTTAGGTGCATGAGCTAGAAGATCGCCTCCGATATTGCAGTTGTATCGTCCAGCCACTTCGACTAACGTTCGCCAGGTAAAAACTCAATCCTTAGATGGCACGATTCCCTTCCAGGTCTTTAAGATCTAGTTCGAGAAGACGGCCACAGCAAACCATTGGAGCACGGAAGATAAATCCGCTGCGCTATTCGTTGCCTGCAGCGGAGACTATTCCCGACAGTGAGAGGAACAGTTGCGATGCGTTGATGGGCGGGGTGGAGAGACGTTATGGTGGCGAGCGCAGGAGACAGATTTACCAGATGGAGCTGGAGAATCGCTACCAAAAAGGCAACGACAGTCTACAGGAATTCGCTTCTGATATTTGGAGGTTCGCTGACTTGGCAATTGGAAACCCAACCGGTGTGAACACCCCGAAAAGGTAAAAATCCAGAGATTTATAAACGGTATGCGGGACATGTATTCCGTGCGAGAGACATATGCGAATCCAAGGTCAATATTTACTGAAACTGTCTCAAGACATGGGAAATGCCGGTGGTCTTAAGTAGACCAGCTCATAAATCCCATCCACCGAACGAGACAAATGAAATTCTGAAGAAGATAATCAAACTGCTGGCCGTGAAAAACATGGCACTGATTAACATTTAAAACGTGGAACCAACAGGAACAAAAATTTCGGCAGGACGCAAACGCAGAGCTGAAAAATGTGAACCAGACATTGAGTCAGTCGTTAAACAAAAACGAGCCAGAAGGAAAGGGCGCGCGCTTTCCCTAGCAGTTGAAGACCCCATAATCTCCGTCTCACAAATTGGCCGAAAACCGAGCAACCTTACTGTTGGTGAATGTGTGAATTGGCAAGAGCGGGTGCTGTCAATAGATACTGAAGCATCACATTCCATTATTCGACCTAATTTGGCCGCTTGGTACGTGAAACCACTACCTGGGGCAAATTTGCAGACTGAAACTGGTGAGCGCAACCAAGTGTTAGGAAAAGTACCATGCGAGGTAATAATCGGGGATGAGGCCTCGTAACACAAGTGTATAGTGGCAGGCATTGTGGATGATGTCGTGATCGGCGTGGACTTTCTACTTGGCCAAGGCATGAAGATTGACCTTCAGGGAATTATTCTGACATATCGCGACAGGGAAGTGCCACTTAAGGTCTGTTACGACAACTAGTACTGCAGCAGATGGTTGCTCTTAGAAGAAGGCCCGAAGATTCCAGCAGCAACGGAAGCGGTTAGTTAGGCAGAGGTAAGCAGCGATGGATATGGAGTCATTTTGATAGGAAAAGGAAGCGGTTCAGCGATACAGGAAAAGCGGCACGGTCTCCAACTCATTGAAAGGTCACCACGAGGATGAGGTCATGGCAAGCCCATTAGATGTTTAACAGGCAGTGGTCTCGGCAAAGAGCCAGTGAACCACGTTTCAATGGTGATACGTCGGTGTCCGAAAATGGCGGCAGCAGTGGGCGCGTTCCGAAGTACCCAGGAAAAGGTTGTGGTCGGCAGAGAGAAAGTTGACATCGACGGAAGATCGAGATGCGAGTTTAGTTGTAAAACAGAAAGCTACGAGTACAGAGATCAATTGCGTTAGCAAGTATTGTAAATACAGAATTGCTTTTGTAAATACAGAATTGCCTTAAAAAGTATTTTAAAGTGTTTGTTTTACATAATAGTTGTACTGTAACTTGAGCGTTTATTTAACAATCCAGTGGAATCAACCTGAAGGACTAATTCAAACTGACACTGCTTTTAGAAGAGCCTTCGCCAAGGCACGTCAGAGGGCATCTTTACGAAATCCATAGGTTCATAAAACAATCTATGGACCCAACTGCCTAGCGACATGCCTTAAACGGTATTTACTGGGAGTCGGTCTTTAGTTACATAGACTCTCGATTTGTGAATGCCGTTTTGGGTACACAACCTACCGACGTGGACGGGACGAAACTTTGTCTGCCCCGGGAGACTCGCACCACAATAGCCCAATTTCACTCTGGATATTGCAGCAGGTTAAACTCGTACCTGAGCAGAGTGAATTAAGATGTGCCCAACGAGTGATTGGCATGCGGAGAATCGCCACATAACTCACGGCACCTCTTCGCATCCCCCAAAACCCCACCCAGCTAACGCCCCGGTCCCTAAGGACGGACCCTGCGGAAGTTTCGCACTTCCTGGGCCTCCCCTTGGCTGAGCCTGACGAAAACATTGACGAATGAGCCGACTCGAGAGGTTCAGTAGCAGCTACAACAACAACGACTAATTTAAAGAGAATCGTTACATTATTTACCGCAACATGGCTTAAAACATTTTTTTGGCTTTTACATATCGTCGTTTAAAGTACAAAACCGCGTATCAACAAAATGCAAAACCGCCGTATGTGGGGTGGAATTTTGCAACCTCATAAAAAACACTCATATTTCAAAATGGTTATATTTTTTATAAAGCAATCGCATTTCTGGCTACTATATTTCAGGACGAATAGATACGGATTAAGCCAAGAGTTGTGTGAGCAAAGCCAATTTTTGGCAACAAATGTCAGTTACGCGGTTTTGCAGAATGACGATACGCGGTTTTGTACTTTAAACGACGATATGTAAGTATTAAGATATAAAAGAAAAACACATGCTGCAGCAAAGATAGAAATATTAAAATTAATTTTCGCCTGCCTATTTGGGAAAGCCAGATGCATAAAGCAATACATATCGGGTCCATTAATATCTTGTTTCGGGCCCAATAGTAGTTTATTTCTCAAACAGGAACCAACAATAAACTATTACAAAATTTCATTGAAAAAGCTTGGATAGGGAATCTAAAGAAACTACATAAAATGTTATTTGAAAAGAAGTAATTTCTAAGCAAGCTAGTAATTTTTAAACCTAAACAAAACCGTCTTCGATTCTCATATGAAAATTTGCGGCAGTACCACGCAGTTTCTTCCATACAAAGTAATTTTTATTTGGAAAGAGTGCATAACACCGTCAGAAAAAAATTAAAATGCGTGGACTTGGGATAAAAGTTTGTGGAATTTTTATAATTTTTTAGCAAAGTCTGAAATTTAGATTTATATGGTATTTGTTAGATAAAGAGCTATATTTATATATAAAAATCAAAAGTACTCAAAACTGGTAACTACTTATGTTGATGTGCTATCGTTTGTCGCGGGGTGTATATATACATATATCAAGATTTTTAAGCTAGGGAGTTAATACACAATAAATAGAAGTGTCATCTCATCTTATCTTATAAGTATAATACGCGAAGGGATTTTTTGTCCAGATCTGCACCGATTGTTCGATTTTCAAAAATGAGGTATCAATTGAGATTGAGAATTTGGGTTGTAAATGTGCAATACGGTTTTACTGTTTCTAAATAAAAGAGATGCCAACTGTTAAACAATCACTCTGAAATTATTTAATAATTACTTAATGCCATCAGATCTGCACCGTTAGGTCGATTTTCTAAAGTGAGCTGTCAAATTAATGAGTTTGGGCTATGGTGCAATAAAGTTTTACTTTTTCGAGAAAAAAGTTGCCACCTTTAAAGAAACTTTAATTAAAATTATTTAAAAAGTGAAACCAATAATTTCAAAATGGGTATCAATCGTTTGAAAAACTTTGTTTCTTAACTTTACTGTATGAGAGTTGCCACCGGTTTAAAAAATCAAATTTAATTTGAATTAAGGGAATTACGTAATAGAAATATATACATACCACCATATGGGCGCCAGGTGAGAGGAGTATGAGAAGGTAATAGCTTTTAAATATCCTGAAGAGGGTTGGCCTCACTTTGAAAAGTTGAATTTAGTTAACTTATATGCAAGTTATTGGAAATACGAAAATACGGGTTTCAAGTGGAAGAGCGTTGAGATATATTTGAAAGTCAGTTACCTACTAGCTCTCTCAGTGAACGGTTGCATTTTTTGATTTTGCTCTCGTATAAACGTTATACACTTTGTGTAAAACAGTTATATTACGGTTACGGTTACAGTTATTTTTCTTCATTCAACTGACTTTATATATTTTTTGTTTAAAAATAAAGATTAAAATCAAGCGCGTAAATACATACTTGTGTGTTCGAAATGGCCCCGGGGGCCACCTACCTTGGGGAGAACAGGTTTGCCCTGTTATCTCCGTCCCCGAAACCAAAACGAAAAAAACCTGATTTAACGCCGTTGGACCCTTTCCCTGGACTCCCGATCATGAAAAAGGATGACCCGAAATTCCTAATTATAAAATCATCTGATGATAAAAAACCGATTACAACTTTTTCGTGCTTTGCGATTCATAAAGGAATTCAAGCCATAAGCAGTGAGGGCAACGTCATCTCTGAGCTTCGGGATGGCAGCTTATTGCTGCTTGCTAAGAATAAGAAAGCTGCTGATAGGTTCCTGAATGCTAAGACATTACCCGGTGTTGGAAATATTTCTATAAAGTTACACAATAACCTCAATTCGGTAAAAGGCACAATTTATGCGCCCTTC